CCCCCCCAAGGGAGCCCCTTCCTTTTTTATCAAAGAACACCCGGCCCCCCTTCCCCGCGTTCTCCGTCATGGGAAGAGCCCCGCCCCCCTTCCTGGCGGGGGAGTCAACGGGGAAAGCCCCCACCCCTCCGCGGGGCCTTTATCTTTATCATCAGGAAGCCCCGCCCCATTCGCCCGCCCCCGCCCTCGAGGCCCGCCCCCTGCTCACGCCTTAAAGACGCAGCCATACAGCCGGTCACCACGTGGCTTCCTCCAGGATGTGGGGCCAGCCTCCGCTCCGCCCCTCCCCACCCGCCCTGGGGACTGGGCGTCCATTTCTTTCCCCGTCTTCGGGGTTTATGCTGAAGTCAGAGTGAGTTCTGGGCATCTGGGGAGTTTCCCCACGGCACTGGGGGTTTCCAGAAAAGGGAAGAGGAGACCCCGACGCTTGCTTTCACCCTGCCGTGTCTTCCACATTCCCCTTTAAATGCCTAAGTCCCGGGCCAGAGCCCCCAGGTGCAGCCCAGTGCTGCCCCCCTCCGGGCCTGGGAGGAATTGCAGACTCCCGAGCCGAGCCTGGCTTGCGCAAGAGGAGGGGTAGAGTGGGGCTGCCACACTGAGTTTTGGGGTCAAACAGACCTGGCATTCAAGGCTTTTACCATGACCCAGGCCACAGCTTTTGCTACCCACTTCCACACGCGAGGGACAGATCTAGGGTTCCAGCGGGGTCCCCTCTTCCCTTTTCTGGAAACCCCCCCTGCCCTGAGTCAGCCGCCAGAAGGCCAGAAAGGGGAGAATGGGAATTGGATTTTCTCAAACCTAGCAATGGACAATTGGGCAGGTGGTCCGGGGGCCATCTGGGCCCCTCGAGCCCTGGTACATGCCGACCCTTCCCAGGGCCAGAGGCAGAGAGAGGTGGGGTCCTAGCCCCTCTGGAGTGTTTGTCATAGTCTCCTCCTGGCCTTGTCCTCCTCACCTTTCTGCCCGCACTCTGTGCAGCGGTTCTCAACCTGTGGGTCGCGAACAATGAAAATACATCCTGCATATCAGATATTTACATTACAATTCATAACAGTGGCAAAATTACAGTTATGAAGTAGCAACGAAAATAATTTTATGGTTGGGGGTCACCACAACATGAGGAACTGTATTAAATGGTCGCGGCATTAGGAAGGTTGAGAACCACTGCATAGGATCAGTCAATTATTATGCCATTCAGTTCTCAAAGATTTATGGAGAGCACCTGCTAAGTGCCCAGCACTGTCTGAATGAGGCTGGGCAAGGATACGGTCCTCCTTTAATTTACAATCTGCTTGATGGACACATACAACAGGCAAATACATAAATAAGGTAATTGCAGGCTGTGAAAAGTGCTACAAAGGAAGTAAGCAGAAGAGTAACCAAAGAGCCTACTTTAGAAAGAACAGTCAGGCCTTGGCTGGTATGGCTCAGTTGGTTGAAGTGCTGTCTTGTGTACTGGAAGGTCACAGGGTCAATTCCTGGTCAGGGCACATACTGTATTGCTCTTACATTGATGTTTCTCTTTCTCTTCCTCACTCTCTAAAATCAATAAAGATAAAAAGAACTAGTCCTCCTTTTATTTATTTATTTTTTGTTAATCTTCACCCGAGGTTATTTTTCCAGAAAGTGGAAGGGAGGGGGAGAGACCGAGAGAGAGAAACATCGATGTGAAAGAAACACATCAATTGGTTGCCTCCTGCACGCACCCCGACCAGGGCTGGGAAATCAAGCCTGCAACAGAGGTATGTACCCTTGATGGGAAGGAATTGATTCGATCCTAGGGTCCTTCAGACTGCAGGCCGAAGCTCTATTCGCTTTAAAAAGAAAGAAAAAACAGGAACGTCAACAAATATTTTTTTAGCCTGGCCAGCTAAGTGGTTAAGCATTGACCTATAAACCAGGAGGTCAGGGTTCCATTCCCCCATCAGACAGGGCACATGCCTGGGTTGTGGGCTCAATCCCCAGTAGGGGACGTGCAGGAGACAGCCAATCAATGATTCTCTCATCATTGATGTTTCTATCTCTCCCTCTCCCTTCCTCTCTCTGAAATCAATAAAAATATTTTTTTAAATATTTTTTGAGTACCCAATACATGTCAAGTTTACCTCCCAAATATCTCTGAAATCTATCCACTTCACTCATCTTTCCCCCATACCCTAATCTGGGTCACAGTCTCTCCGGTTGGGATTATTGCTATTGGACCTTGCTGGTCTCCCTGCCTTTAGTCTCATCTCCATTTCATCTTCCTTCCATATAGCTATCCCACTCAACCCCTCATCAGGCTCTCAACGGCCTACTTCTCTAACCTTGCCCTTCACAGCCACTGAAGGGAAAACCAAAACAGCCTGAGATATGGAGGAGAAACACTAGTAGCTCAAATGAGGGGGAGTAGGAGATGGGCTTTGGCAGGAAGGCTTTCATTGCCAGACTCAGGAGTGTGATCTTTGTCCTACAGGCCAACAACTTTCCACGGGGGAAATGGTAGTGCTGGGGCTAGAAGGGACAAATCTACAGGGGAAATGGGGCCGAGGCATGTATAGTTTGAAAAGGCATTATTTGTTATTGAAATTTTATTTTGGAAAATAAAGCAAAATGTATTTATATTCGTTTTCTAGGGTTGACATATCAAAATACCAGAGACTAGATGTCTTAACCAACAGAAATTTATTTTCTTTCTGTTCTGGAGGCTGGAAGTCCAAGATCGAGGTATTGAGAAGGTTCATTTCCTCCGAGACTGCAGACACAGTCTTCTCCCTCTGACTTCACGTGATCTTTTTCTTTATGTCCTAATCTCTTCTGATACAGACCCTAGTCAGTGAGCCCTGAGCAGGTAGCTCAGTTGGTTAGAGTACCCAACCGATAAGCCAAGGTTTTGTCAGGTTCTATCCCCCACCCCCCACCCCCCATCAGGGTACTTTCAAGAATCAACCAATGCCCCAGCTGGTTTGGCTCAGCCTGGGTTGTGGGCTTGATCCCCTGTAGGGGGCGTGCAGGAGGCAGCTGATCAGTGATTCTCTCTCATCACTGATGTTTCTGTCTCTCTCTCTCCCTTCATCTCTGAAATAAATAAAAAAATCAAGAATCAACCAATGAGCCTGGCCAGTGTAGCTCAGTGGTTGAGCTTCGACATATGAAGCAGGAAGTCACGGTTAATTTCCCCATCAGCCCATGCCAGGGGTGCAGGCTCTGTCTATCCCCAGTAAGGGCCATGCAGGAAGCAGCTGATGGATGATTCTCTCTCATCATTGATATTTCTCTCTCTCTCTCCCTCTCCTTTCCTCTCTGAAATCAATAAAAATACATATTTTTAAAAAGAATCAACCAATGAGCTCTGGTCTGGTTGCTCAGTTGGTTGGAGCATTGTCCCCTACACCAAAGGTTTTGGGTTTGATTCCTGGTCAGGGCACATACCTAAGTACTGGGTTCAATCCCCGATCTGGGCGCATACAGGAGGCAACCACTTGATGTTTCTCTCTCTTTCTAAAATTCAACAGAGCCCTAGCTGGTTTGGCTCTGTGGATAGAGTGTTGGAATGTGGACTGACGGTCCCAGGTTTGATTCCGGTCAAGGGCACGTACCTTGCTTGCAAGCTCAATCCCTAGACCTGGTGGGGGGCGCATGTGGGAGGCAACCAATCCCAATTGATGTGTCTGTCTCACATTAATGTTCCTCTCTCTGTTCTCTCCCCTTCCCTTCCACTCTCTCTAAAAATCAATGGGAAAATATCCTCAGGTGAGGATTAGCAAAAATAAATAAAAATAAGCCCTGACCGGTTTGGCTCAGTGGATAGAGCATTGGCCTGCGGACTCAAGGGTCCCAGGTTCGATTCTGGTCAAGGGCATGTACCTTGGTTGCAGGCACATACCCGGTGGGGAGTGTGTAGGAGGCAGCTGATTGATATTTCTCTCTTGTCAATGTTTCTAACTCTCTATCCCTCTCCCTTCCTCTCTGTAAAATATCAATAAAATTTATTTTAAATAAATAAAAATAAGTTTAACAATAAAATAAAGTTCAATGGGAACATGTCCTCAGGGTGAGAATTAAAAAAAAAGAATCAACCCATGAATGCATAAATAAGTGGAACAACACGTAGATGTTTTTCTCTTTCCTTCCTCTCTCTCTAAAATCAATCAATCAATAATTTAAAAAGACATCAGATCAGATTTGGGCCCACCTCAAGGCCTCCCTTTTAAAAATATTTTCGTTGATTTCAGAGAGAAGAGAGAGGGAGAGAGAGCTAGAAACATCAATGATGAGAGAGAATCATTGATTGGCTGCCTCCTCTATGCCCCCTCCTAGTTCATAGGTCAACACTCAACCACTGAGCCATGCTGGGTGGGGTCAAGACCTGCTTTTAACTTACTTACATACCTTCTTAAAGGTCCTGTCTCCAAATACAGTTACAAGCCTACGGTACTGTGGGTTAGGACTTCATAGAGGAGTCAAAACTACCTCCACCCATCTTAGGTTTTCAGATGGGATTCTTTAGCAAAAAGACAGATTAATTGCCGAAACCGGTTTGGCTCAGTGGATAGAGCGTCGGCCTGCGGACTGAAAGGTCCCAGGTTCGATTCCGGTCGGGGGCATGTACCTGGGTTGCGGGCACATCCCCGGTGGGGGATGTGCAGGAGGCAGCTGATCGATGTTTCTCTCTCATCGATGTTTCTGACTCTGTCTCTCTCCCTTCCTCTCTGTAAAAAAAAAAAAAAAAAAAAAAAAAAAAAAAATCAATAAAATATATTTTAAAAAAAAAAAGACAGATTAACAAAATAAAAACAAACAGCCCTAGCCAGTTTGGCTCAGTGGATAGAGCATCGGCCTGTGGACTGAAGGGTCCCGGGTTGGATTCTGGTCGAGGGCACATACCTCGGTTATAGGCTCCCAGCCCTAGTCGGAGGCATGTGGGAGACAACCAATCCATGTGTCTCTCTCACATTGGTGTTTCTCTCTGTCTCTCCCTCTCCCTTCCACTCGATCTGCTATAAAAATCAATGGAAAAAAATATCCTGGGGTGAGGATTAAAAAAAAAAGAAGAAAAACAGAAGTTTATTAACATGTATCAGCATGTATACATGGGATATAACCAAAGGAAAATGAGTAACTCTCTCATGTGGCTTAGAATTCAGGTGTAAATACCATCTTAACAGGGAAAGGGGAAGGGGAACATAAGCCTGGTAGGGTAGGGTAAGTGATTTCTAGGAAGATGAGTGGGGCCGTGGAAGAATGGGTGGGAGATATGATAGCTTGTGACAAAGTTTGTCTGGATGTAATATAGACTTCTAGTCTCCTCTCTGGTGATATGAGATGAAACTTCCCGGAAGGGACTTAGGACCATTGAGTTCCTTTTGAAGGATCTGGCTTTAGGCAGATAAAGGAAGTTCAAGGACAGCCTCTCCCTGCATTTGCTCTTTTTCAAATGCCTGCAGCTCAAAGGAATCAATATGCCAAAGTGACATGTTTGGGGTATTCTATTATTTGGGCATATTCTGTTCCCTCCGCTACCTTCTCTCCTCGGGAGGTTAACAAGGTTCTTGAGCCCTCTGGGAGCCAGGACACTGAGGAGATCCTCCAGATGCTGTAACTAAAGCGCCTGGCAGCCTGCTCGCCTCCTCCCTCGGTGTAACACCTGCTGCCATTGATGGACCTTACACACCTGCCGTGGACCAGGCACTGGGCTGTGCATTTATCTTACTGACGGATCACAGTAGCCTTACGATGTGGATATGATTGTGACCCTCATGTCACAGGTGAGGAAACAGGCTCAAGGGGTTAAGCTTCCTGCCCAAGGTCACATAGCTACCAAGGGGCAGAGCCAAGGTCTGAACCCAAGATGCCTGACTCTACCATTGGCCTTTGCCTAAGTTTTCTAGGGGTCACTGGTTCTCTGTCCTTGCACCACTCTGTCTCCATCTCCCTTACTAGCGTCCTCTCTCCTCCCCAGGACTCTCACAAACTCTGCCCCTGCTGAGGCTTTACTGAGCTCGCTGGCTCTCCATCCCCCAGAGGATGCTGTCAGGCCCGCTGTCCTTAGTGAGCACGTGCCCACCACATTCCCTGCCCGCTTGGCAGCTCAGAGTCAATCTCTTAGGGGCCGAAACCGGTTTGGCTCAGTGGATAGAGCGTCGGCCTGCGTTCTGAAAGGTCCCAGGTTCGATTCCGGTCAAGGGCATGTACCTTGGTTGCGGGCACATCCCCAGTTGGGGGTGTGCAGAAAGGCAGCTGGTCAATGTTTCTCTCTCATCGATGTTTCTAACTCTCTATCCCTCTCCCTTCCTCTCTGAAGGGAGAGGGAGAGATAGAAACCTCAGAGTCAAGAATCTCTTAGGGGAAAAATTTTAAAATACAATGGGGAGAAAAAGAAACTCGTGAGTGCTCACTTTGGCAGCACTAATTACGAAATTAATAATGTCCTAAAATTGGAATGATACAGAGAAGATGGGTATGACCCTGTGCAAGGATGACATGCAAATTCGTAAAGTGTTCCATATTTTTTTAAAATATATTTTTGTTGATTTCAGAAAAGAAGGGAGAGGGAGAGATAGAAACATCAATAATGAGAGAGAATCATTGATCTGCTGCCTCCTGCACGAGCCCCACTGGGGATCAAGCCCACAACCCGGGCATGTGCCCTTGAACGGAATTGAACCTGGGACCCTTCAGTCTGCATGTCAAAGCTCTATCCACTGAGCCAAACCAGCTAGGGCTGAAGTGTTCCACATTAAAAAAAAAAAAAAAATCTCTTAACAGTGTCAGGTCACAGAGGCTAAGGGAGTCGTGCAAGAATGAGAGATACCTGCCTCTGGCTGGTTTGGCTCGGTGGATAGAGCGTCGGCCTGCGGACTGAAGGGTCCCCGGGTTCGATTCCTGTCAGGGGCACATGCTCGGGGTGTGGGCTCAATCTCCAGTGGGGACGTGCAGGAGGCAGCCAGTCAATGATTCTCTCTCATCATTGATGTTTCTAACTCTCTTTCCCTCTCCCTTCTCTCTGAAATCAATAAAGATATTTAAAAAAAAAAAAAAAAAGAGTGAGAGATGCCCAGTAAAGCTAGGACCCAGGAGGGGTTATTGGATTCAGCTTTTTTTTTTTTTTTTAATTTATTTTATGATTTCCACAACAGAGAGGAAGGGAGACAGAGAGCTAGAAACATTGATGAGAGAGAAACATCGATCAGCAGCCTCCTGCACATCTCCCACCGGGGATGTGCCCCGCAACCAAGGCACATGCCCCCGACCGGAATCGAACCCGGGACCCCCCAGTCCGCAGGCCGACGCTCTATCCACTGAGCCAAACCGGTTTCGGCTGGATTCAGCTTTAAAGAAACCTCAGGCCAGGTCCGTGTGGCTCGGTAGTTGAGCATTGACCTATGAACCAGGAGGTCACGGTTTGATTCCGGTCAAGAGCACATACCTGAGTTGCGGGCTCCATCCCGTGTGGGGAGTGCAGGAGGCAGCTGATCAATGATTCTCTCTCATCATTGATGTTTCTCTCTCTCTCTCCCTCTCCCTTCCTCTCTGAAAGCAATAAAAATATATTAAAAAAAAAAAAAAAGAAAACACCTCAGGTGGTCTTTGAAGGCATTTCATACTCACCAATTGTTTTGCTATTCTGAGCACTTTGTAAGTATTAATTCATTTGATACTCATAACTCTGTGAGGTAGGTATGTATAGGGAAGTTAACACAAAGAGGTTAAAAGGCTTGCCCACGGGCACAGAGGTAGTTCAGGTGGAGTCTGGCTCCAGACTACATGCTGTAAACTGCCCCAGCTCTCGGCTGTGAGGCGGGGAGAGGGTCATGGTGGTTAGGGCCAGGAGAGAGGGAGCCAGGCAAGAGGAGAGGCAAGAGCTAGAGGACGATAAAAAAGGGTGGGCCAGGTGATTTACGGCTGGAGTGGTTCCTCTCCTGGGCCATAAACCCAGGGACCTGTCAGCAGCTGGGCAGGGAGATAAGCGAACTCAGGAGGGAGGGGTTGGCTGGGGCCTGGGGACCAGCCCCTTCCTCTGGTGAGGCTTCGGGTCCTGTGCCCCGACTGGTGGCTCTGTGGGAAATCCGCAGCCAGCGATCCAGAATTGGTAACAGGCAGAAGTGTGAGGGCCACAGAGGGGGTGGGGTGGAGGACTGCAATGCAACCAGCGGGGTTGCCCTCAAGGTCTGCAGTCAGAGAGAGCCCCCCAGGACCACAGGGACTGAGCTCCTCCAGTCTGGAGCCTGGCTTCCCAGGTACAAGAAACTCTGTCAGTGGTCAGCAGCCCCGAATGCTCCAGGAAAAGCCACAGATCACAGCTTGGGAAAGGGCTGCCTGGCCACCATGGCCAGAGGCCCCGAGCTGGTACCTCGTCCTCTGAGATGGACACGCACACCAGTCCTGTTCTCTCCTCATATTGACATCTCACTGGACCCTAGTCAGGCCATGAGTAGGTTTCTAGACCTTGCTCATCCAAGGAATGGTTTATGGAAAAGAGGGAGGTGGATCAGATGTCTTTCATGTTAAAAGGGACAAAAAGTAAAAACAAAAAAGAAAGGAAAAGGTGCCTGGTTCAAATCCTCTCCAGCTTTACCAAGATGCATCAGATCCAGTGCTGTCCTCAAGGATCTCATGTGCCAGAGGGGAGACCGCAGACCAGTGTGTTACCTGCTGCAAGAGGAGGGAGGAAACCTAGAGGGTTTTGAGGAGTGACCTGGGGGAAGATCGCGGCAGGCTTCCCAGAGGGTGCTCTGAGCTGGATGGTGAAGGAACAGTGAGAAGGAGCTGGAAGAGGCTGGTAAGGGTGAGACGGGGCATCTCAGAGGGCCTTGTGTACTGGTATCCCGCTTAGAAGCCAGGCCCTGGCATTGCATGGCTTTGGGGACAGGCTAGTGAGGCATCAGGGGAAAGTGGTGTCTCTTCATCTTTGAAGGATTGCCTGGTTCTGGGATGCCACAGTGGACCAGTAGGTAGAAACCAAAGGGAACAGATTTGGCTTTTCATGGGAACAGCAGCCGGGGCTAGATGCCCGCAGTGCTCCAGGCTCTGTCTGGGCATCATTGCTTTGATACTCTCAGTTGCCCTGTGAGGACGGTGTTATTGATCCTGTTTTGCAGAAGAGGAAACAGATTCAGAGAGGGTAGGTAGGTAACTTGTACAGGTTACAGAGAGCTGGAATTCAAGCCCGGGTTTGTCTGACCCCAAGCTTCCTCTTCAGCAAACACTTGTGCGTGGGAACCAGCTCACAGTGTGGGGGAAGGAGCTCCGCAGTACAGGCCAGAAGCGGGGCCACCACTCCTGGGTTTCTGAGGGTGACTTGGTGCTGGGTGGACAATTGACCTGGTGTCTCCGGTATTATTTCCTCTGTTTGAACGACAAAGAAATTGAAGCCCAGAAGTGGAAATGCCATTCCAGATCCGGCTGAAGGGGGATGCGTCTCTAGGGCTGAGTCCCAGGTCTGTGGTCTCATCAGCCCCGTGGAAGGGGAACGGGGAAGGGCCAGGCCAGGCCCCGCCCTCTCCCCCCAGCCTGGACTAGAAGCTTGGCAGTGTGGCTGGGGACAGGACCCTGGCTTCAGGGTGCCAGCCCTTGTTTAGGCCCAGATGGGCCAATTCCAGCTTTTGAAGTCCGTCAGCTCCAGCTTTGAATCCTGCCTCCAACACATCCCAGCTGTGTGATCTTGGGCAAGTCATTTACTTCTTGGAGCCTCGTCTGTGAGGTGGGGATGATTCCTACCTCCTGGGGTTGCAATGAGGATTCCACCAGAGGGTGATTCTGCCTTGGGCTCAGGGCCTGCCGCTTAGTCAGTGCCCTGGAATCAGCAGCTGTTATAATTGTAACAATTTATCATGCATCTGTTTTCTCACCTGGACCAGCATGGGACAGTAATCCCTATCATCCTGACTTCAAGGACATGGTGCCATCTGTGTGAGCTGTGGGTCAGTGCTGATGGCACTTCTGCCATTCCAAGGCCAGCCCAGCCCTGCAGTGGTAGGAGACATATCCAGTTCCCAGGCCCAGAGGAAGCGGGCGACAGCCTCAATCCATCAATGATAACCTCAGTCCAGTCAAACTTAATGAGCCCAGGAGGTACTTAAGTGTGTGTGAGGTGAATGCTGGCCCAGTTCTCCTTCCTCAACACTGGCTGCTGCCCAGAGCAGGTAGGCAGGTATGGGGTGGGGGTGAGAATGCCCTGGGCCTCAGGAGACCAGCTTGGAGAGCGAGACCCCAAGGGATAGTGGAGGGTCTGGACTGGAGTTGCATCTCCTGTCTTCAGCGGTTCAAGATCTGACTATTCCTAGGCCTGCAAGTGCAAGAGGAGCCCTGGGAAGCCTCAGGTATGAGACAGCCTAGATCTCAGCTCTCCCTTGTCCCGCCCGCTCTGGCATGACCCGCACCACTGAGCTCTGGGGGGAGGGGGTGAGCTGTGCTTTGTCCCTGGCAGCTTCCCCCCACCTTGCCCACTGACACGAGGTGAAGGCTGGGTGTGTATGACCACCGCTGAAGGAGGTTGCCTGGGGAACTGAGCTCGGTGACGAGAAGAAGGCAAGCTAAGGGGAAGGCTTGCTGGGGAAAGGGGCCAGCTCTGGGGGCAGCTCTTGCGACCTCCTCCCCAGGCCACCAGCGCCATGACGGTTTCGTACACCCTCAAAGTGGCGGAGGCCCGCTTCGGAGGCTTCTCGGGGCTGCTTCTCCGCTGGAGGGGAAGCATCTACAAGCTCCTCTACAAGGAGTTCCTGCTCTTCACTGTCCTGTACGCTCTGCTCAGCATCACCTACCGGTGCGAGGGTGAGGTCTCAGGGCTGGTCTGTGGGGGACTAGGCTGCCCGCCTCCCTCTAACCCGGGCCTGCACCGGACCTTCCCAGGCTGCTGCTGACCCAGGAGCAGAGGCTCGTGTATGCCCAGGTGGCCCGATACTGCAACCGCTCCGCAGACCTCATCCCCTTGTCCTTTGTCCTGGGTAAGGCTATCCTCTAGTTCTCCCTGGCATCCTCACCCTCTTCCCTGACCTTTGGGTGGGGTTGACAGCTCGGAGGGTCAGATTTACCCCAGTAGCCCAGCCTGGAGACCAACCAGAGCAGGCTCAGAGGCATGGGAGCTGTGTGCCGGGTCCGGGATTTCCAGGGGGGTAGGCCCTGCCTATCACTTGCTGGACCCTCCCTCCAAACAAGGCCCAAGCTACCTGCTGGCTGGCATCACCAACCTCTGGGTACTGGAGGGGAGCTGGGGAGATGACACCCCATTCCCACCCGCATGGGAAGCAGGGCTCGTGAACCGCCTGGCCTTGAACCACCGCTTCTCTGCCTGAGAAGGGCTGCCCTCCTTCCTCCCAGCATGGTCAGACCAGAGGAAGAGGGTGTCCTCCTGACAGGAAGGCAGGGCACCGGAGCCAAATGGGTCCTTCCCTCTGCCTTGGTTCAACCTGCCCTGGACCAGGCGCTCTGGCTGAGGGGCAGGACACGCTTACTCCCAGGCCTGTCATCTTTCCCTCCCATCCCTGCTACCCTTGGTGGCAACCAGGTTTCTA